TGAACAAACGCCGATCTGGCCCCGCCCACAAAAAAAAAACACTTGGCGGGTGCTAGGAAAGGACTTGACGAATATCATAGTGCCCAGGGGCTCCACGTTGGGGACGCCTGTTCTCCTCCAACACTAACAAGCACGCAACCGCACAGGCTCTCCATATTCCATTTTAAAGTATTACTTTTGTTTCAAAGTTTCACTTTACATTTACCTGAAAAGCCAGAATGCACCTCTCCTTTGGGTTGAGATTCAGCAGTTGCCTTCAGGTTTTAAATGACGATACAGTAGAAAAGAAGGGTCAACTCGATGCCTTTCTGAAACGGTAGGATCTCAACACAACCCAGGCCCTTCAAAAGGTTGCTCCCAGCAAACGCCTCCTTTAAGAACCATCCCAAGTTAAGAGCCATAGATCGGAAAGGCCATTGAAGCTCGCTGTCCCTTGCTCCCAAGGCCATTAAAGTTTAGCCAAAGTCACATCAGAAACAACCGCCCCCTCTTCTCTTTGTTTTCTGAAAAGGGTGAAAATGCTGAGAACGTCCAGGGAACGTAACATTCCATACTAATCGATCGACCCGAGGTTAAAGGTGCTTGGCTACAACACAACACGTCGTTTTCCCTCCTCGGCGACTAGGAAACACAGCCCTGAAAATTAGTTACAATCAACTCCACTGTAATTGGGGGACTAAAGCCACATTTGACTTGCAAAGACTCAATCGAAGGAAATAAATATTTGAGGTGCCCTAAGTGGGAGGGACCCCGCCCGGGAGGGGGGGAGAGGTATAAAACAGCTTGAAGGAGCAATAAGTACACCTCCACTGTATCGACAACACAATTCGCAGAAAAGAGCTCAGACTGCTGACAACTCCAAATCGGTTCTTCCGTGCATTCCCTTAGCACCAGCTGCAAATCTGCAAGAACACATTCTAGTTTTCATCTGGTCAGTAGAGTGAACAAAAGTTTACATAAGAGCACATCTGCACAGGGAAAGGTGTTACTAGCGATTACAATGAAAGCGCTAACCCTGCTTGTTCCAGACACCTTGTTCACGTTTCTGAGTGCAAGACTGTCTAAAAGAAAAAAGAATTCTGAAGTCTGTTACCATTTTTACGGCTGCTGGTTTTGTTGCCAGTTACCAAAATGTAAAGATAGCATATTATATGCGGCATTCCAAGGGAGTTCAGAATACATAACTCTTATTTTTTCAGTCATAATAGCAACTCTGTCTGGGAGGTCAATACCCACCCACCCCCATTATAGGTGGCTACCATGTTACTGAAGAACAGCTAGCAATTTTATGGCAGATTTGCAACAGGAAAATTCTGGTTTAAGACTCAGGCTTAGCCCCTGTGCTACCTATCCTACCTGTCATTCTGAGCCAGGCTACAAAATGTGGATCAAAAAACCCACACAATGGGGCCTCGGACAGACATGTAGTATTTTTCTACAAGCTGGGGAAAAGCCCAAGGTTTCTGGGAAAATATCAGTGTTAAAAAAACTACAATATCAGTGGTTAGAAAAAAACCAAACCACAGAAGCCGTATCTGCTTCTTTAAGGAAAATGTGCCACTGAGATCTTACAATTACATTATATGTAAGCAGATAGATGAACATGGGTAGCCGTGTTTGTCTGCAGAAGTAGTAAAGAGCAAGAGTCCAGTAGCACTTTAAAGACTAACAAAACATGTGGCAGAGGATGAGCTTTTGTGAGTCACTGCTGAAGACTGTGAGCAGTGACTCACGAAAACTCATACCCTGCCACATATTTTGTTAGTCTTTAAGGTGCTACTGGACTCTTGCTCTTTTCTAGCCAGTTTGGTGTGGTGGTTAGGAGCACAGACTCTAATCTGGGTAGACTAAAAGAATCCTTCGAGATTGCACATCCTTCAGAAGTCCAGACAGACCATCCAATCTATAAACAAGAGATCAAACAGCCATTTCCTAAATCTTTTATTTAAACACAGCTGAAATTGGTATACCACTGTTACATGGGAAGCAAACACAACCTTTGAGTCGTGGTTAAGATATTTTTTAAAATTTACATAATTGCCCACTTACCCCTTCCGGTAATGCCTAGAGCTTTATTTTATTTTTTTTATTTAAATGAGGGTGGGAGTGATATATTAGAGATAAATAATAAAATAAGTGAAGCACTGAAAAAAAGGAGAGGCTCATCAAAGAACTGCCACGGAACAAAGTTTCGTTGTCCTAGAGCGGCGGGCTCTAAACCCACCGTCCGGAATACGGGCTTCATTTGTGTATGGGGGAGGGGAGGTGGCGGTTTTAAAAACCAACAATAAATACACCAGGATCACACTGAAGCAAAAAAATGCACCAAACGAAAGGACGGAAGCCGCTGGGATTCTCTTAAGTCCTCTGGAATAAGACAGATGCTCTTAGGGCTGTTCCCGGAAGTCAATAAAGAAACGTGCCAAAGCTGCCTTTCCCGTTTCGCCTGAACTGGTTGCCCACGATGGACACAAACACTTCCTGAGACATCAAGTTGTCGTCCGCCTCCGTGATGCCCAGGTGACTCAGCCTTTTCTTGCACAGCTGCTTCTTCTTCAGAGACGCGGCCGAAAGTTCGTTTGCGATTTCGGAATTGCCCTTTGCGTGCTCCGAGGCGTCCCCTCCTGCGTAGAAGTCTAATCCCCCACTTGCCCGTTGGTGTAATTGCTCACCCACTATGCCGGCGACTTCGCCAGAGGCCTGGACATCGTCGGTCTTTCCTAAGTCAGAAACAAATAGCGACAGGAAGTACGTAAGGGTCTGAGCTGCCACCTTGCCCCCCAGCCTAACCGATGGTACAGAAAAGGGCAACTCGAATGATAAAAGGGTTGGAACACTTTCCCTATGAGGAAAGGTTAAGGCGCTTGGGCTCTTTAGCTTGGAGAAACGACGACTGAGGGGAGACACGATTGAGGTTTATAAGATTATGCATGGGAAAGAGCAGGTAGAGAAAGAGGTACTTTTCTCCCTTTCTCACAATACAAGAACTCGTGGGCACTCCATGAAATTGCTGAGCGGTCGGGCTAGAACGGATAAAAGGAAGTCCTTCTTCACCCAAAGAGTGATTAACACTTGGAATTCACTGCCACAGGAAGTGGTGGCAGCTACAAGCATGGACGGCTTCAAAAGGGAATTAGATAAGCATATGGAGCAGAGGTCCATCAGTGGCTATTAGCCACAAGGTATAGATAGGGACTCTGGGGCAAGTGATGCTCTGTCATCTTGGTGCTTGGGGGGGGGTCAACAGTGGGAGGGCTTCTAATGTCCTGGCCCCACTGGTGGACCTCCTGATGGCACTGGTATTTCTGGCCACTGTGTGATACAGAGTGTTGGACTGGATGGGCCTTTGGCCTGATCCAACATTGGCATCTCTTATGTTCTTATGTTCTTAAGATGGGCAACGGTCCAGTCAAGCCCAGAGATGTTACACCGTGGTTACTTTTTACTGTGGCTGACCAGCCCTGACCTGGATGACCCCGGCTAGCCTGATCCCGCCAGATCTCGGAAGCTAAGCAGGGTCGACCTTGGTTAGCGCTTGGATGGGAGACCACCGAGGAAGCCCAGGGTTGCTATGGAGAAGCAGGTAATGGCAAACCACCTCTGTGCATCTCTTGCCTTGAAAACCCAATGGGGGTCGTGATAAGTCGGCTATGCCTTGACAGCACCTCCCTCTTCCTTCCATGACTCAATAAGCACATAGAAAATACGTCCACTGGTGACCACCAGCCAGAAACGCAACCATCGGTGTCTTCTGGCTACCAGATGCCAAAAGCCAACACAGGCCCTGCTTCCTAGTTGGATCGTGGCAGATGGTCCTTTGCAGGGGGCGTTTAGTAGAAAAAGAGGTGCAGGAGCTCATTAGCACAACTTATTTGCATATACCACTCCCCCTGACATCACCAGAAGTGTGTCAGAAGGCAACACCCACCGCTCAGGCTCCACTGGTCTGTTTTGGATTGCTAGCTATTGGGGGGGGGGGAACGTGCAGATCTGCCCTCAAAGAGGAGGGAGATCTTGTACCTGAATAAAACTTGGTCTTAAAGATGCCACTGGACTGTTTTGGATTGCTAGCTATGGGGGGGGCAACGTGCAGATCTGCCCTCACAGAGGAGGGAGAGCTTGTACCTGAAGGCGGGCCTGGGGGGGTGTCTGCAACTTACCTGGCTGCTTCTTGCTCCTCGTGGCCCGACTGAGGGCTGCTGGGAGCAGGGGGTGGGGCTTGTTGCATGTGCCCACCCCCTGGGCTCCTTACTGCCGGAGCTCCGCTCCTGTGCGCTCCCGCAGGAAATGACCCCTGGTCCTTTGCTAAGCCAGGGTGGTGTAGTGGTTAAAGGGTTGGACGGTGCACTACAACCAGGTTCATTCAGTGGGTGACCTTGGGCCAGGCATTCTCTCGGCCCAGCCTACCTCACGGGGTTGCGATGAGGATAAAACGGGGTAAGAGAAACCATGTATACCCAACCCTGAGTTCCTTGGCGGAAGGCTGGGATAAAAGTGTACTAAGATATAACCAGGATGGCCCAAGTTAGCCTGACCTTCCTAAGCGGGGTCAGCCTTGGTTAGTACTTGGATGGGAGACCAGCAAGGAAGTCCAAGGTTGCGACGTACACAGAGGCAGGCAATGGTAAACCACCTCTGTTCATCTCTTGCCAGGAAAAGCTTATTGGATAAGTCGACTGTGACTTGGCAGCAGTTTCCACCAAGATATAAAGACAGTGATTAAATATATGCACCAAGTAGCCTATGAAGATAATCCCCATCTTGCTATAATGCATACTAGTAGGTCTGTCATCATTATTCCTTGACATAAAGGTAAAGTTAAAGGTTCCCTTGCTCGAAAGCCAGTCGAGTCTGACTCTAGGGTTGCAGTGCTCATCTCCGTTTCAAAGCCGAAGAGCCAGCGCTGTCCGAAGATGTTTCCGTGGTCATGTGGCCGGCATGACTAAACACCAAGGCGCACGGAACACTGTTCCCTTCCCACCTAAGTAGTACCTATTTATCTACTTGCAATTTCTTGCTTTTGAACTGCTAGGTTGGCAGGAGCTGGACCTAGAGACGGGAGCTCACTCCGTCATGCGGCAACCCGGGTCTCGAACTGCTGAACTACCGACCTTCCACAGCCTGCAGTTCAGCGTCTTAACCACTTGAGCCACCGCAGCGCCCCTTGACATAAAAGTGAGATAGAAATCAACCTCTGGATCGCGATCATGACCGGGAAAGGTTGACACACAAACCTGAAACAGATCCCATCTCCAGCACTGGCATATTTCTGAACGCAAGTTTTTAAAGTAAACTCTAGTCGTATCGCACATACTTTCAGTGGAAATTCTGCTGGACCGCCCACAATCGGCAACTGGTCTAAGACCGACTTATTCGTACCTTCAGAGTTTGCCGGAGTGCCTTCTGTTGCATCAGACGAGACAGCGGGCTTCACCAAGACGACCCCATATCCTTCATTATTATGAATCACATTGTTCACCAGGGTGATCTTGGGAACCTCATAATGTTCTTCCAAGAAGTCCTAAAAGCCAAGATTTTTTTTCAAAAACTGTATTAGAGACCTACCACACAAACATGTGAAGCTGCCCGTACTGAGTCTGACCACTGGTTTATCTAGCTTGGTTTTAAATACGCCGTCCAAAGAGCAATGCTTTTATTTGGGACACTCAGGCTAGCACTCACTTTTATGAGGATTCCCTCTTTGCAATGGTGTACGCCGTTCCCCATCAAGGTACACGTGCTCCCTGGATAAATTTCTACACCGGCACCCTGAAATTAAGAGTGGGGAAATGGCCGTTAGTTTAACAAAAGCACTTCTCAACATAGACCAAGGTAAAGGATTGGGTCCAATTACTCCCTTCCATGAAATGGGGAGCCTTCCTTCAACTGAGGAAGAGTCCTTCCGCCAGACAATGTCTTCACTTAGCAGAAAGGAGTCATTGGATCTGACCCAAGTGAACGAGTCACTGGATCCAACCCAAGTGTCACTATCTACGTATGCCACTGTAAGCTTCCTGAAAGACAAAAATGTCATGACTGACTCATCTAAATCTTGTACCATGGTGCACCGGGAGAATCAAAAGCTGTTTATAATATGACCAGGACGGGGGCATCAGCTCATCCACAAGCAACATAAAATTCTACTGGTCTAGCACAAAGTCCAAGTTCTTTGCATCACCTTTTCAATAGGGGGATTGGATAAACATATGGAGCAGAGGTCCATGAGTGGCAATTAGCCACAAGGTATAGATGGAACACTCTGTCTGGGGCAGTGATGCTCTGTATTCTTGGTGCTTGGGGGGCAACAGAGGGAGGGCTTCTGAAGTACTGGACCTGCTGGTGGACCTCCTGATGGCACCTGGATTTTGGCCACTGTGTGACACAGAATGTTGGACTAGATGGGCCACTGGCCTGATCCAACATGGCTTCTCTTATGTTCTTATGAATCTGAGTCCCATTTTGCAATTTGTTATCAAGGATAGAGACAGTAGAAGTTCCCCATGTTGTCCTTCACCCCGCCTAGCAGGAGCAACGCATTTTTGAAAATTAAAATAAAATATGTGCTCGTTGGCTTAACTTTTTCTCTTTTACATGCGGGTTCTACATAGCATTCGGTCCATCTGTTGAAATAACTCCCCCCCCAAAAAAGCCACCAGTCGATTAGTAATGTCAGCTTTTACCTTAGCCCCGTATAAATCCGAATTTTTCATCACAAGCTCAGCCGAAGTTCGAACAGCTACCCCTGTTGTCTCACACTGCAAGACGCAGTTCTCAAGCATGGTTTTCCCTTGGTGAACGCCTGAAAGAGCAAGATGTTTACTGGCTTACGCCATCAAGATCCTGATGTTACTGCAGCAGCTCCAGTGAATGTGAACAAAGAATTCTGGATGTTTCAACCACCCACATCTTTCTAACAAGCACGCACGTAGTATTAGTCATTATCTGACACTGGCGGTGGACAAATGGCTTTCCATTGACAAGTTATCACATTTGACTTGTTCTTGGGTGGTACAAAGGTTCTGTTGGCAGGTGATGCATGCGAGCCAGCACAGCTTAGAGTTACAGCATAATGCTGCAGCAAATCAGTAACAAGTAAACTTGTACCAATGGGGCACTGTATTATTTATTATTTATTAAACTGGAGTTATAGCCCACCCTTCCCTACA